TTCATCAAACATAAAGTTTTACCTACACAATGCAATATAACATAAATTATGTAAAATTTTGTCAAAAAATCAATAAAATTCTATAGTTTTAAGCCCCGAATAAGTGTAGAAAATACACTTATCAAAGTGCTTTTGGTTTAGTTCAATCAGTCACCTCAATTCCATGTCAAAAATAATCTTTTACAGATGGCACTAATAACTGCGTTGTTAGAAAAAAATCTGAACTCCATCTTGTATTCAGTGAAATCAACACTAAGAATGTTTAGTACATCACAATACGTCTGTATATGATATATTCGCAAATACGCCGACTACAGAAACACCTTCTCCATTACTCTCGACCCATTTCCATGTCTTCCTTAACCAAGGTAACAAATTGCGAGATGTGTCGAATTTATATATGCATTTTAATGCAAAATTCAAAGAAGTTAGCTAAGTATAACTACTAAGCTAGATAATCGATTAACCGATTGGTTTTTATAGAGCGATTTGTAATCCCTATTAAGAGTCAATCTGTCATTTTAACAACGATGAGTTGACAAGCATAACCAATTGTTTGTTGATAGTCGATCTTAACAAATATGGCCGATTAACCGACCAATCCTTAACAATTGATCGATTAAATGATCGTCTGTTAAGAGTCGGCTTGTTCACCGACCGTCTGTTAACAAATCGACTCTTAATAGACCGTCGATTAACCAACCACCTCTTAAAATGTGATTGAGGGCCATCTGTTTTATAAGCATATAATGCAAACTTCTTTACCATATATTTGTTAAAAAAATCACAAACCTGTCCAATAATTTGTATATATTTTATCAAGACATCAACATAGCATTTATAGTTTGTAAACGAAACAAAAACCAACAAAATGCTTGAAAGAGCAAATACTCTTACTAATTCAAAATGTTATGACTTCAAATGTTGAATTCAAATAACTGTTCACGAGATGCACGTGTAGAATTCTGAAGACAAATATGAATAAGTAAAATAAAACGCTCTAGTGTTAGAAGAGAGATTACGGTGAATGAATACATATATTTTTTTCCTACAATTGAAAGGATATTCATATGATTCTACCTTTAAATTATTTTAATAATTTTTAAACCATAAGAAGGGTCAATTCAGAACCTTTGAACAGGCTCTTTAACCTTTCCCCTTTCTTCAACCAGGACTGTCACCTCAACACTTTCCACCACTCAGCTGCTTTATTCTTTATACCAACAACTAAAAATTGTTTTCCCCTTGTTGCTATCAAAACCAAATCACAAGCTTCACATAAAAAAAAAGAGCATTTCTAGTAAGATTACTTAAAACTAAGTCAAAGTTTGTTATTTTGTCAAACATGATTTTTTAATCTACTTTTTCCTACCAAGAAAACTTACTTTAATTAAATATAAACTAGCTAACGAAACATCATATTTCATTCTACTACCACATTTCAACATTCAAAAACAATACATGCAAACGAAAATAGCACTTCCAGACACTAGCCAACCAAGAATTCCATGGCAATCAAAGGTCGAAGTTTAATCAAAATCACTTGAAAAACCACAATTTACTTTAATTCACCAACTTCTGCATCTACCTCTTCCCTCCTTTTATCTTTTCTTGTGTATGTGCTAACACCTTGTTCTTGTTGTTCGGCTTTCTTCTGAGCTCGTATCATAGCTCGTCTTGCACGGGGCCGCATTTCACGCACTTGTCGAGGAGGCATCTCATAAGGTTCAAGTGGCCTGTCACCAAAAGGGTGCTCACTGCCAGCAAATATCCTCAATTTTCTATCTCTATCCTACACGGAAAAAGTAATGTCGAGGGAAATCATTCAATAAAACTACTGAACAACTTTGGTTTTGAGGCTCAAGTAATGACAATTAAGGATCATTAAGCAGTGTTGTACAACTGAACACACAATTATTCGAACTTAGAGAAAGCCTTCTTGTAATATATCGAAAATAACATTTCAAATATCAGTAGATGATTATTTGTGGATTTTTTGAAATTTAACAACTTCAGTCATACACTCCATGTAAAATAAGGATCACAATCGATCTAGGACTTGCAATTTCAGTGAACATATCTACTCCCCATCCCCATTCAAAAAATAAAAAAGTAACTTTTAAGAAATCATGTTTAGACTTGAGAAAACTATTATTGAAATACACTAGCAGCCTTGAGTATTTATTGATATAATAGAAGAAAAATGTACTCAGAAGCACCAACTCACATCACGTAATTTGTTTCTAGGAAGCATGCGCAGCACAGCTTTACGGATTACTTCAGTAGGATCCTTGACCATCTGGTCTTTCAAACTCCTTTCCTTGAGGTGGCCAATATATCTACAAGGACAAAGGTTTTCTAGTGTGATAACGGGTCCCATAATTAAAATTATTTTGTGTCGAAAATCTAGAATTTGCACAGTAAAATCAGAGCCGTCTATTTAAGCTTTTATATTTCATATAGCACCAAATCAGTACTCAACAGCATAGTACCCAGACAAGATCATGTAACTAAATGTAAATTAATGGATGATAAATAAGAAATGGTAAGTACCCAGTATGCCAACGGTAGAACTTATTAGTTAGTTTCCTCCCAGTGAAGCATACATCTTTTGCATTGATTACAATGCACATATCCCCTTCATCATGATTGGGTGTATATGTAGGCTTATCCTTGCCCTGAACCACAGTCGATATTTGTGATGCTAGCCTCCCGAGGACCTAATCAAAGAGTAAATCACCATCATTCACAGAATATTCACGACTAGTAAAATATGGTGGTCCATGTTGAACCAGACTTCAGGTATAGGTGTATAAACCTGTCCTTCTGCATCAAACACTCTCCATTTCAAGCCTTCCAAATTAATTCGTCTCAGTCCAGCTACTGCTTTCTGCGAGATTAATGAATATATTCTGATCAGAAATCATGTAAGTGTATAATATAAACTTCAAAAAAAAAAAGAAAAAAACAAAAGTTTTTAAACCCGACTTGGTCGTTGAGCTGGAAAAGGTAAAGGATAAGGGTTAAAGGGTACAACTGGAGTCGTACTGGAACTAAAATATAAATAATTTAATATATATTTATATACTATGCTTTATAAAAATATAAGTTAACTAGTCATCAAAAACAAAATAAAATGGTGTAAATATTCAAATAATGAGTTGTGATGTTAATTATATTATAAAAACATTATATACTTAAAATTTTCCCTTTATTAATTAAAAAACATTTAAAAATGTACAAGTTTCAATCATTAATTTTTCATTGTTTGCAGATCAAGAGCCTTCTTCATTTTCCTCGGTATCCTTGTACCACATTATTACGTGTTATTATCGAGTACATCATATTTGTTGAAAAGAAAACTCTCTCTCTCTCTCTCTCTGTGGAAAAAATAAATCACAGCCACACATAACCCGTTTTCTCTTTCGTTTATACGCCCCATACCCATCGCCAGATTCTCTTTTCTTCCTCCTATTCACTTTCTTTGCCCCTACATTTGCCTTCCACTCTACTGCATAAATGGTTCAGCTCAAGAGGCAGGAACCAAACTGTATTCCATTTCAAAAATCCCAAGAATGAATAAAACTATACCACCTCAGAGTCCACTATCCCGAAGATTTCTCATAAAATGATGTAGAAGTCGTTACTAATGTGAAGATGAAGAATTCGAGTGAATTTTTAAATAACATTGCTAAGAAACATTTCATACACAATCCACAATGCTGGAAGCCGAATAATTTCAAGGTTTTATAACATTGCTAAAACTGTGAAATGGTATTAAAGGCCAGCTGCTTCGGTTTTAATAACATTGCTAAAAAACAAAGATGAAATCCACAAGCAACAACATGACAGAAAAATAGTTTTAGTTGTTTAAGAAAATACAAGAACTTAAGCTACCAAATAAAAGCCATTTCTAAAGGACTTTAGCCTAACGAATTGCCAGTCATTTCATTTTCAAGCAGTGTCCATTTCGGCTACTGCTTTATAGTTGAAGCCACCTGGCAAATGAAACAATTGCAAAAGGTCTTCTAATTGCGTAACTAAGAAGAAGAAGAAGAAGAAATATTGCACTATCCAGTCATATATCAGTTACTACACACCACAAGAATTGATTTCACTACATATATATCGCCAGCATGTGTGCTGGCCTGAAACAGCACATCCACAAATCAATCGCCAGATTTATTGTTAATCTTTCTCATGATGAACCCTGATTTGAATATTACTAAATTTAACAATAGCTCACTTAAAGGAAAAAAAAACCATGAATACTTGATGGCGATTTGTAATGGAAATAACAAATTGAAAACACGAAGAGCACAATTTGAAATACAAAATGTTTCTATTACATTTCACAAAGAACTATTAAATCAAACACCTCACTGCATCAATATAATTTTTCATATTATACTCATCAGAATAACGACAAGGAATACTAAAAATTAAGCTAAAAAGTGCAATGAGAATAAAAACATAAAAATCAACAAGAATAGATAACTTACCTTCAGATTGCCATTGAATGACTGAGCTATTGCCGTCATAATCTTTCTCAGATAGTGTGCAGATGAGGTAGACGACAATGGCAGCATTCGGATGTTTTTGGGCCTGTTAAACCTAGAGAGAGAGAGAGAGAGAGAGAGCCCATTTCTGATATATGGGCCTAACCTTATGTTGGGCTTGTTTCAGAATAGTGATTACGCGTGCTGTCTTCAAATTTGAAATATGAAAGCAACGTGAAAAGAGAGAGACGTTTTTACAGCGCTTTTACTCGTATCTGTTTCTTCTCCTCCGAATAAACCCTAATAGAACCCTAAAGTAAATAAAAGGAAATTTGCACATAAACCCTGAATCGAATCGAGGTGGAGCAATGGCGATCTCACTTAGAAGAGCACTACTTTCTTATCGCCACATCTCATTTGCACTTCGAACCAGCTCTCTTCAATCCCACCACTACCTTTCTTATTTAATTTCCACTTCTTATAATACCCGCCAATCTGCCACAGTTAGCAGCTTTCTGAACGCTACGGCTAAGAATTTTCTTCTGTTTGAATCTCGAAGAGGCTTCGCCAAAGGACGGAAACAACCAATCCGTAATGTCACTTTCTCTTGTATTTTTGCATTTTTGGACTCACACTACTTTGCATGGATTGGTCTTGCGGTTTAGTACCATGATCTTATTGAATTAGTTTGCATATTAGTATGTATTTTTCTAGTGTACTTGTTTATTTTGGAATTACTAATAGCTTAGGTTAAGCCGAAGAAGTTAAATTTCAAGCTTAGAAATTGTAGAGTTTATTGTAAATGCAAAAAGGTAGTCATTTTTTTCTTTATTTGAATCTCGAAGAGGCATCCCAATTGAAGGAAACAACAAATCAGTTCTCTGTTTTCTCTTCTTTTTTTGATTTCTTAGCACGCTGGTTTGTATTTGGATTGAACTTGCAGGTTAGATAGCGACGATCTTACTGAATTTGTTGGTTGCCCCATTCCTCTATGAATTAATTCACCAATCAGTGTGTATTTTGCTTGTGTGCTTGTTTATTTTTGAATTATCAAACTTGAAGGGCTTAAGGAATAATGGAATTTAGTGGAAGAAATGGATATGCGAGTGCTATCTATTAGGGAGCCTCTTTAGCCCAGGGCACAATTGGTAAAAGAAAAATAAAAATTATACTGTACTAATTGGCTGCTCAAACCAAATATGAAATTTTAGTCACCTCCTGTTATGAGTCTCTACCCTCTATAATCCCATTATCTATTTTTATGCAAAATCGAAACCCAAAATCATTCAGGCTCTCAATTCCCTTTAATTCCTACATGACCATAATAAAATATTTCATCATTTCATATATTTTTCACGATTATCGTGTCTGAGGATACCGTAGATATTTTAAAGTTTTGTACTTACATTTGGCTTTTGAATTGAATATACTCTGCTTTTAATACTGCTTATAGTATCTCCTTCCTCTCAAATAGACAATACTAGGTATATGAGTCTTATTTTTTCTGGGATTTTGATGATCTTTTTCCATGAAAGAAGATTCACGTGAATTCTAGTTTTTTGGCTTTCTGATGTCTGAAGAACCTTTTTATTCCGTAAAATGAAGTTGTTGGTATTTTTGAGTTATTGATGGTTTGACTGTTGTTATTGTATTAGGACTTTGGATTTTGATATAAAAATCTGAATATATTTTTACTAGGGGTGATTGTTTTTAATAGTTATTTATTTGCTTAATTATGAATATTGATTCAAAAATGAGCTTCAAATGGCATTGCTCTATTTTTTTATTGTTTTCATTTTAGCCCCTGTTTGGCAGCCATTCTCTTTCTCATTCTCGTTCTCTTTTTTCATTTCAACCACACAATCTACAAATAAAATAATATTACACAAAAATCTTAAACTTTTCATCACTTTTCCGCCACACATTCTCCAATCAATCACTATTCCAAAATTTTTCAACTTATTAAAATGAGTGTCAAACACACCCTTAATGTTTTTGGTTTGTATGTACAGCTCAGTTTTTCAATTTATGATGTTTAATTATAATCATTTATTTATTTTTCTGGAAATTACAAGCTCGATTTTTTATATAATTTTTAAATTTGATATGATAAGTTGATTAGTTTGTTATGTTGATAATCAATTGTGTTTGTTGAGTTCTAAATAATATTAAGGTCATCTCGTCTGGGTGCAGACGCAATTGTAGTTTTAATATTCGAGATTTTTTTGTATGCTTTCTAATTTAGTACTAAACCAATTAATTAGGGCACGTTTCTTGTTCTTGTGAATTATTTATATGATATTTCCATTTTGAGCTTTTACAAGAGAATATTTTTTTGTAATGCACTTAAGCATACAATATTTGACAATGATAGCATATAACTTTTGGAGACGGAAATTAACATGACATTCTATATCCATTATTTTTGGAATTCTTGAAATTGTTTTAACTAAAATGTAAAATTTCTTACTTTTGTGAGTTAGTTTTATCATGTTTTTGTCACTTGTTTGATGATGTAAAAAAAATCTGGGTTTCGGCCACTGAAAAAGGGACACAATTTTTTCTAAATTTTAGCCCAGTTAATCTTTCTTCAATGGGTATTTGATTAGTTCTGTATGATTACAGCTTCTGGTCTTATATAGATGGAATTGATTTACTCTACTTTGGATTTTTTATTTTATTTTATTTATTTTTTAACAAGAGGAGCAATATGAAGACGAGAAGGAGCTCGAGGATGATCATGGGGACACAGAGAAAGATGCAAACTTAGGGGCTAACGTTAAAGCGACTTCAATCTCTCAAATGGAGTTAGCTGTTGATGCGCTGTCACGTGAATTGGCTAAATTGCGAACTGGAAGGGCGTCAGCAGGTACAATAATGTCTTGCTATGTGGTCATTGTATTGGTGCATTTGCTTATAACCTTCAATTCATCAGCGGAAGCCCTATGCCATACTTCTTTTAACAATAACAGGAGGTTATTTAAGACGCTGACCCTTTATGAAATGCATTTGTAGGGATGCTTGACCACATTATGGTCGAACATTTTGGTGTTAAGACACCCCTTAACAGGATGGCAGTTGTCTCGGTGTTAGACCCAAAAACCCTTTCAGTGACTCCCTACGACCCAAATGTATTATGTTATAACTTCACCCAGATCAGTGCCTTTATCAGTTTTCAGGTTATCTGGCTAAATTGGATAGTTGAGGTTGACTGATCTTGCAGGCCCTAAAAGAGCTGGAGAAAGCCATCATTTCATCTCCATTGGGTTTAAATCCTAATTCAGACAGCCAACGATTGGTTGTACCAATACCTCCGTAAGAATTCTATTTCCTTGAAATAAATTCTGTAGTTTTACTTTAATTCTAGGAGTGAGGTCATTTCATCCTATTGATTAGTAACATTGATGAGAAAAGATGCCACCTTACTTTGACGAGGAGAACAATTTCAGATAATGCATGAGTTTTCACCCTTAAATTAAGTTGCTAATGAATATATTCTCTTTTTTATGGGCAGAAAGCTTTAGTTTGTGTGAAATAAACTTCTTATACTAAGTTGCTAACTGATATTTTTCATGCTTGCAATGGGCAGAATGACCAAGGAGCACATACAAGTGAGTCTTGATTACTTTCTTCTCTGTTCAAACTGTCATTGTGTTCATCAACTTCTAATAACATAAGATTGTAATAAGGGCTAATAATGTCGATGCCCTAACATCTCTTTACCAGGCTGTCTGTAGGGTGGTTGCCAAATCTTCTGAAGATGTTAAACAAAGTATTAGAAGAGCCCGCCAGAAGGTATTTTCATTTGCATACTTCTCATCTTCCATTGTGCAACCTATATCTTCCAGATGATAATTTCATATCATTGTACTGAAAAAAGGTTCCATATCCCTCAGCTTCATAACTTCATATAGTGGAGGCAAACTGAAATAACCACTTCATTCTCTGCTAATCCATGCATTTTTTTTTTTCTTAAGTTGCTCTTGAAATTTCTTTGTTGTGCGTGGCTTAACTTTGAATTATAATATTATCACTGGTAGAAAATAATATTACCTTCACAATTAATACATTGCTTATAGAAGATGAGCTTTCCACCTGCAGGCATTGGACACTATAAAGAAAGCAGCGCCCAAAAAGAAGGACAAAGATAAAGCAGGTTCTAGTATTTCGGCAGATGATGCAAAAAGATTGGAGAAAGAAGTAAGTTGTATTAAGCCGCCGATGAAACAAACAGTCTTTGAAAGGTTCAATTTTAACTCATTTCTCCTTTTTGTGCACTTAGATTGACGACTTGACTAGAAAGTTCATCAAGACAGCCGAAGATATGTGCAAGGCCAAGGAAAAGGAAATTACTGTAGGATGAAGTGTGGCTTTTGGTACTACTAAATTTCATGTACACTACAAATTTTCATCTTTAACAGCTGAGGCTTATTCAGTTAAAATTTATGAATCTGATTGTTTCTGTGGATTCATTTGAGGAATTCTACTGTTTTCGCATGAGAAAAATAAAATTAGTTGAATCTATTTCCTAAGCGTGAAAATTTTCGACTTTTGTAACAAAGAATTCAGTAGTATGCTGCCGGAGTTTGATTATAAAATGTCTTGAGAATCTTTACTCGTGTTGGCGCTAGGCTATTCTCTTGTGCTAATGTCATTGATTTTGAGTTGAAAATCACTGCATTTGATAAGCTTGAGCCAAATCACTGGCATTTCAATATGACCAACCATTATTTCAGAAAGGAGACCCTCCTGGAACTGTGCTCTTCATAGAGCCAAGTTTTAAGTTAAACTTACTCATAGCATGCAGAGAACTTTTCTACTGGTCTATGACTTGCATAATGTTATAGCTATAAATGATAAATGCTGTAGTAAATGTGATAAAGTAAAATCTCTGCGAGTTTGAATGACTTGCACTCTGTTGGCTCTTGGCATGGTTAAATATTATTTTTCCAACTATCTTGGGCATGGGCTTCGTGAACTGAATTCTCTGTGAAGATGCAAAGCACTAAGGGATAGACTGCAAGATCGTGTGCATCTTAACCATATCTTTGTGGCAAAAAATCTTGAAGGAATGTGTACGGTAGGTGATAGATGGTGACTCACATCGACCTTTCAAACCAGTAGTTCGTCTAAGGATGTCTAACTGCAGTACCAATCATTTGGGGACAAATGGAAGCCATCTTTGTAAGATTAATCCCTGCTTGGCAATATCTTAATCACATTTTCAATTCTATTGAACAGTTAGTTGATTGCCTACTCTCTAGGTGTAGGCTACAAAACTAATTGGGCATCTGGCAAGTCTGGGCTCCGCCCTTGATCTCGAATGCTTTTAGAGCATTAAGTAAAATGAATTCAACAGTGTTAAAAAGATTTTAGGAAGAAAATAAGTCCCCTTGTGATGAAACAACTTTGAAAAAATCACTTATTTTGGATTGTATGTACTATCCATGGAGCTAATAAAATTGGCTAAACAATTAAGAGTCTGGCATGATTTTGCAACATTTATAGGGAATACCTGCAATGCCCTTGCCAGTGTTGCTGGGGGGAGTCAAATGCATGAATTATTACGAGGGCAATTCAATCTTTCCAACATGTCCATCAAGGGAAAAATTATGAGGAAACATGGACATGGTAAACAATCAGTGATGAAATAAGGTGTCACCCACTGTTGCTGAATATTTTATTTCAAAGTTGAAAAATTACTAATAATATGCTATTGGCATGTTTGATCGATTAGCACCATTATTTACTAAAAATACGGTAACAAGTGTAAAAAAATTGTAGGCTAAGACGAACATTCTTCAGCTCAATGAATACTAATTCAAAATCAACAGATAATACTACCAACAGAACACCAGATACTACATTGCGGACAGAAAAGTAACACAATCAGAAAAATAATATGATTGATACTCACTAGAGTAGTGATAATGAAAAACGAAAGATTCAGAAATTCAGTAATTCACCAGTCAGATGAAACTCAACTTCACTTTGCATATTCACTAGGTTTAAATATATTTCTAGTCCCCAACTCAACGCCTCTTCAACTTTTCTCTGTTTCTTACCTGAGGCTAGTCTTTAGAAGGTTACATGTCCAAAAATCATTTCAGGGTTTTTATCCCCACCAGTCTTATATAAGACTATATTTAACTCAATTCTGTCTACTCTTCAGACCAAAAGGCAATTCTTCAAACGCAGCCTTACATGGTAAACTTTTGCCGAATTAACTTATCCAATATGTCGAACAAATTTGTATTGTGAATTTCTCTAAAAGACAAAACTGAGAGCAAATTACAACAAGTGAGGGTTGTTCAAACAAAATTCAAAATTGTGAGTTACTAAGAAAAGTAACCATACATCTAGTACTCTGGAACAAGGTATCTACTTTTTGCCATACTGTTGACTGAAGTTCTAGAAGCTTCCGTGCTTTATCCTGTAACCCTGATTGGCATCGAATAGTTTCACCATGAATCTGGTCAGCACAAAAACCAAGGATTAAACACAACTCAGGAGTAAAGTTCATCAAATGAAGAAAACTTGGAAGAACAATTGGAAATATAGCTATTTCAAAAGAATTCTTCATAACCTAGATAGTGTTTTTGGTAAGTTTTCAGATGCCATCATTACAACTTAGCATATATTATTATTGAGTGTGAAAGGCCTCGTGTGATGCAAATAAAGATATCCAAAGCAAGGAGAATGAGTAAATTTGCACCTTCAAAAATAATCTGATTCCAGCCTGGATAAACTCAAAATTGTTTCTGCAAGATATCTCATGTATAAAATAATCCAGTAGAAGTTCGATGAAGTACAGTTCTGGTCTCTTCTCAGGTTCTTGCTCATCTTGATCATCTATAATCTGAAGCATCCTTAGTTCCATATCCAAAGCGGAAGAAGATAAACCTTTGATATAATCAGTAAATGCAGCAACTGCAAACAGCCATTCTCGAGTAAATATAGCCGAACATATATTTAATGATGTATTAGAATGTTTAGTGATCAAACTAGGACGATCAAAGTCAAATGTAAATTTAATGAGACAACTTACAATTATTTTCCTCTGAAGACCGGAGGAAATGCAAGAACTGGGAAACTGTGATATCAGGTTTCTTCCTTTTCTTGTCAGTTTCACCAGCATGTGCATCCTCTTCATCAGCAGATTGTCTAGTGTTAAATAATATCTCTCCTGAGAGAGAAGGAATAGATGGAAGGAAAAAAGGAGCCTTTTCAGGTTTCTTTGGAGGTTCAATCGGTTTGTTTCGGGCCTTTATAATATCCAGATTGATCAAGCTTTGCCACTGACTCCTGGGCAAGAGCGAAAGTGTGACTAGATCAGGAATTTGCTGATATAATATCGAGTGAGAAGTGTCTTGGTCTTGTGGAGGGTTTGCATTGGCCTTTTCAAAATTGTTATCTATAGAATCTTCTGCAGAAGAAACACATGGTAGCTTAACACTCACAATTTCCTTCCCACTCCCATGGGAAACATTGCTAGAAGTGCTAGAAAACATTGCACGATTAACCCACAGATAAACCCCATTTTGATCCACATGAGTTGTTGCTAAAACATCCATATTCGGTGACAGAGATAATGCAGTTATAGACACGTCAACGGATATAGCATCTATTTGTTTAGCAAGAATTACATCCCAAATCCTAAAAGTCCCATCCATACTAGATGTTAAAAGCCATTTGCCATCCTCACTGAAGCACATATCTGTTATACGATCCGTATGACCTTCAAATTTCCGAACCATCCTCAACGCCACAGCATCAAACAAACGGATAACCAAGTCATCTGCCACAGTAGCCAAAAGGCCATTAGAATGATGATAAATTATCTTAACCAGTGAACAACCTATTTCCCACCTTGATTTCATTTGGCGAGCCTTAAAATCCCAAACTTTTACATCCCCATGGTATCCAGCGCTTATCATAATGGTATTCGTAGAATCACAGGCAATACCAATCACTTCACCATCATGAGCGCAGGTTTTTCTCACAGACTTATCAATGTAACTGCCTCGACTGATTCCTGACTGAAGATTAAAACGCTCAATCCAACCACCTGCTGTCCCTAAAACTGCAAAATTGCCACAAACACTGATGGCACAGGACTTAATGGGAGTTGGATTCTCTGCACGTGGGATTAGGATGTGCTCACCAATAACAAAGTTTTGAAGCCTCCACACGTACGCTTGAGAAGTATCCATATGGCATGTAACTACATTGCACCAATCACGTTCCCGAATTTCAGCAACATCAAATGCAATTACAGGCTTCAGCTTTATTTCTGTTTCTTTCAGCCTGAGTTTTTTTGCTCTTTTAGATACGTGGCGTTGAGAAAGTTCTCTACTTTGCTGATCCTGGACAACAGAGAAAAGACGAAAGGCACGGTCCTGGCCAGCAGATAGAATGTGCCGTCCATTGGCATAATACCTGATGCAGAGAGGAGGAGCACTGTGCCCACTTCTAAATCGCAACAGACGAGGATCCCCATCACTCGTATCAAAGATCCACATTTTGATAGAATTATCTGCTGATGAACTCATCAGCACAGGCTCATTAGCAAAGAAGTGAAGTGAAACTACAGAACAGTCATGGGCGTCCCTAATGACAGACTGAAGCTTCCTCTTCTCAAGATTCCATACACTTATTACTCCAGATGAACCACCAGATGCCAAAAGGGGCTGCCCATCAGTGCTGAAAGATAAAGCAGTCACAGAACCTCTAGTAGAATGAGTGAATGTCACAATCTCTTCATCATAACGAATGTTGTGAACATGAATCTTTCCATCAGAACAGCCAACAGCAACAACATCCAGTGCAGGCGACGAAACACAGCAACATATGGTCGACTTCCACCCTTTGAACTCATAAAGCTTTTTCTTTGTGCTAATGTTCCAAAGTTGCAAGGAACCTTCCTGACTTCCAACAATTACCTGTTTGCGTACATCAGAGAATATACAGCAATTAGCAATGAGATATTTGTACTTGGATTTATCAATGTAGCGTTAAAGGTGTCTAAAATGATACCTTGTTTAAATAAGTATCGGGATGCATTATGCAACTTGGACAATTGTTTTCTAGCAAAATATGAACAGTCGGAGCGATATTCTGGTCCATTCCTTTAAATGCCCAAATAAAAATATTGCCTTCAATGTCAACGCTCAAAACATGTTCGCCAAAAATAAGCAGGTGGTTAACCTTGGCATTGTGGCTGCTCCAAGTAGCCACCTGTTCAAGGATGAGTGTCATCGTTTTTAAGGAAAGAAAATTATCATAACTTAGTCAAAAACTAGTTATTATGGTCACTGTAGGTTGTATGTGGGTATCTTATTCTTCTGGCCAAGAAAAACACAAATAGTCCTTGGATCCTGAACACAAATGGTTTTTGGATCGTAAGAAGGTAGATACATGTAATCCCACATATGGATGAATCACTAGTTTGAAACAGCTTAAACATAAAAGTGAGTAAGATAAGACTACACGAGGCTCAGATGTGTAGGTGTGTCGTGAATACAGATGTTACTACAGAAACAAAATAACTAAAGGGTTCTCTTGTAATGTATACTTCTCTTTTCTTGTGAAGTTTATTTAATAAAAGCAGAATTTCTGAAAGCACTGTGATCAGTAGCACTAATATGTTTGAGTGAGCCATTGTAGGAAGTATTTTATCAAGAACAAACCTGATGAGCACGCTTAAAAACTGCAATGTTATGGCCATATGCCGCAAATGTGTAGTCTCGACATGAGGCAAGAGCTCTTATCTTCTTTGGCAGTTGAGAACCTGCATCAAAACTTCGATATTTGGTTGCACAACTCAACTAAGTGGTAAAAGCTAGAGACACACAAAGATTCATATTCTACTCAATGGGATAGTCTAAATTACACTACCACCACATGTACTGTGAAATGTATTAATGACAAAATCATATTTTATGTTCAATATTATTATCTGCCATCAAGGCTCCCATAAAATATTAGAAAACTAGAAAAATGTATACTACGTGAATCTAGAGAACTCCCATATCCTTCACCTTCATTTGTTAAAACGAATAACTCTATCCACTATAGTGAATGTGCACATCGTACACTCCAACTTCAATTTTTTATTTTCTTCCTTCAAAAAAATATCTATTTAGTTAGGGGGGTTAAAATTACAAATATATAGTCTTTAAAAAACTTCAAAGAAGTGTTACATTTATATTCAGTCCAAAAATACAAAACCCAGAAAAGAAAAGAACCTCCATCTCCCCTTATGTAAATTAACCCCAGAAAGTATGAATTAAGCACATTAATAAATTTCCTACAATCATTGGGAGATAAAAAGCAGTGGAAGGCTTACCAACAAGGACTAAATTCAGCTTGGCACACTGGTGAGAAGAAATATTTAAAAAATGTCAGACAATTTAAATGAAACATGATAAAAGAGTGGCACTGTAAAGAAAATAAGAAGAAACAGTACGTTGTAAATTTGGAAGGCTTTGCCGACGCTGACAGTGACAAAGGTTTCGGTGCCTAGACGTTGTACTGAGAAGGGTACATTCGTTGTTATGTAACCGATAGCTCGAAACGGTTCAAATATTCCCATTCTGAACAGGGGCTGATCCAGGAATTAAGGACACAGAGGCTGAAATTTACAACAGTCAATAAAATAGATGTATATATATGACATTAATCTATATCTATCTTCACATTGAATTCTTAAAAATCGCAAACAAAAAAAAAACAATCAATGGTCCATTACTACAGTGATAATTTAAAAATAATTCATTAAGTCGACAAGGCAACAACAACAATTCATTGATTAGTCGACAAGGCAACAACAACAATTCATTGATTAGTCGACAAGGTAACAACATTCATTATTTTGTTGACAAGACAATAACATTCATTATTTTTCCGACAAGGCAACAACGATTCATTATTTTGGCTGACAAGGCAACAAGCAGTGAGCTAAGGGCATTAACTTGCTGAGGGAAGTAGATTGCAACTTCTTGGACTGTACCTTCTAAAATGAAATGGAAGCCAAGAAGCATACAATATTACTATAAAATCAAGCTGCGATTATAGATTTGTGCACTTCCTTGAAAGAATCTAAGCACAGGGTTTCTAAACCTAAATTATAATCTGTTTTGGTGTTGTTCAAAACCAAATGCACAAGGGCGACAAATTGCATAGAGGAATCACATAATATGAACAGAATCTTCCACTAAATGAACCATAATGAGGCTACTGATACATTTTAGTTGTCAATTCCTTAGTTAGGAAGTTCACATGTTAGCGTGCATCGAAATAACCTGATATTTCACTCTATAATTACAAAATTGCCTATCAATCATAAATTAACAATGGAGTATAATATGTCAGTCAACATAAGATATGCATTCTAATCTCATTATTCAAAGGTTGTACTTTGCCATTTGCTAATTAAAAGCTCTCTCATTTAAAGCAAGTCTAAAAAACCTGATCTTCCACTACAAATGCAAACTCATTGATTCAAAAGTTGAATTTTTTCCATTTACTAATTAAAGTTCCAACATTGAAGGTAAGTCTCAAATATGAAAAACCTAATCTTCCACTAAAAGTGCAGCATACCTAGAAATTCTAACTTAATAGGATACTAACTATCAACAAAAATATGAATTATAACAGATCATGCTCTTCCAAAATATGAGTTCACCCAACACACAAGTTTCAATCTTCTTCCCTCCACCACAAAACTCGTACAAATTTCAGCCAGATGCAGTCTAATGAAATTCCCAACACAATTTTCTGGTAATAGCAAAAATGGTAGCAATAAAAACAATGGAGAAGGAAAAAAAATCTAAAATAGTGAAAGCTTATATGGCCTACCTCGGAGCAATGAAGAAGAAGATTCTCAATAATTGAGGCTATATCAATCAATTGAGGTCTGGTGTCGACGATGCCTAGTATTTCGAGAGACACAGACGAGTAAAGCTGTGGGAGAAACGTAGAGGGAGAGATGGGATGCCCAGGTTTAGGTTTGGGCGGGGTGTAATTTCCACTTTAATTTTTTTTCTTGGGTTGAAATATTTGTTTTGGGCTTAGGCGGCTATGGATTTTGGACACGGGCTGATATCATTTTAAAGACAGGCTGAGGCTGTAGTTTAATAAGGAAGGGGCAACTTACGCAAATACCCTTANTGGAGCACCAGTAATCATGTTTTTTTAAAAAGTTATACTAAAAAAATGACCAACTATCACTTTTTAAAGTTAAGTGTCACTTTTTTATTAAAAAATGACATGCAATGTCACTTTTTATTGAAAATTGATGTTTGTCACTAAAAAGTGTGATAGAATTCAAGAAAGTGATTGAAAAAAGTGATAAACACTAAAAAAAATGACAAATTTTAAAAAAATGACAGTAATAAAAAAAGTGACACTGAAAAGTGACCATCACGTTTTAAAGTTAATTCTCTCTTTTTTTTTTTATTGAAAATTGATGTTTGTCACTAAAAAATGTAATAGAAATCAAGAAGGTGACTGAAAAAAGTGACAGCACTAAAAAATGTGACAAAAAATCAAAAAAAAGTAATAGAAATTTTAAAAAAGTGGCGAATTCAAAAAAGTGACATAAATTAAAAGAAGTTACACAAATTAAAAAGTAACAGATAATAAAAAAAAGTTACAAACTCAAAAAAGCGACAAAAATTAAAAAAAAAAGTGACAAAAATAGTATGATAGTAATTTTCTCGTTGACAAAATTCCCTCTATAATCAAATTCGTACAAGATAAGAAAATCATCCTGATATAAACCAATTTTCACTTTCAACACACTTCCAGCCATTTCAACATTTATTTTGGCAAGTTCAGTGACTATTTAGGGTATTAACCCACCGAAGGGCTAGTGATGATTTATATTTATAACTCTCATTCAATATACAATAATTCTATAATCAAATAGAGTGAACGAATTATTGGAACGCCTTTATTACTAAACCCACCATCCATCTCAATATATATCTAGCAATTGCTTCATCCCTCTCGAAAACCAGAACACAACAAACCCACCACCAAGCAATCTTCATAACGTCAATCCAATAGTTTCATCACCATTCCCCACCTCGTTTACTTCTCTATGCACTTCACTTGGGTCACTAAACTGGACAAGAATTTCAATCGCATATGACAAAAAATTAAACTTCAGATCTGAAATTGTTAAAAAATTTGGGGAAAAAATTAAATTAAGACTAAAAATCATATGGATTAAAGAATTGTAACGACTTTCTTTTTTCCAAGTGAAACTGTGAGGTGTGCTATTTATACCTCCTTCCCAAAAATCCACTATGTAGAGAATTCTATAAAATTCGTTGGCATTGCCGACTTCAATAGCACATGATTTTTGAAGACCTTGGACATCTCAAGATTTTTATAGGGGTCATCCATACACTGAGATTCCCAAGCAAAAGTTTTGCAAAATTCATTGCACCAGAGATCACGATACGGATTAATGCGAAGATGTACTAAAATTGATGAAGTTGTGAAGCCAGGAACGAGGGGTTCATGAAGCCTCTAAGAATTGAAAGCCCCCTTATCCAGGATCAAGAGGACAAGCTCGTGGAACGAGGCCAAGGTATATAGGATCATCACATACGTCAATCAATTTTCAAGATCTTCAACCTTCAACAAGGGAGATAAATACTGTAATTTGAGGTCCTTATGTCGGCCGAGAACAATGAATGCATAGACATACTACACCTGAGCCTGTAAGAAGAAGAATGAATTAGGGAAGCAATATGGAGAACTGGTAGTAGGAGTTTCGGGATTTCTGGGTCTTGCTTTGGGGCTTTCCTAGGTTTTGGGGCTTGGGGGTTTTGAGCGTATTAATTACCGGAGTAAGGATCTCAATTAGTTTTAGGAGTATTATTCTAATTTGTTGCTTTTTAAGGGTAGTGGGCCTCATTATCCCATGAGAAATTACACAAATCCAGGTATTTTAAGATCACATTTCAAAAATCAGATTTGACCTAATCCTAACTCCCATTTTCACCCCCACAAACGTCGTTGGTCGCCACTGCCGACCGCCACTTTCCACCACCAACCGTTGGTGGAATCACCTCCCAGACACTAGTATTACCTACAATTGTTCCCATAATACCACGTGGGCTAAAAAATCTGCAAAAAAGTTTTTGAAATCACGAATCATAAATCTTGAATCCGGCCATCGTCGACAAGACCGATCGTTGCGGCCTACACTAATGGCATTGCCACTAATCCAGCCATGGTCTCCATCAATTGGACCAAAATGTGCTTTCTATGTTTGTGCAACATTTGTGTGTTTTTCATAGGTGGTTTATCAGTTCGATGGTAGATTTTAGATGTGAAGGTGATGATGATGGATTTGTGGTGGATTGAAGGTGTAAGTGATGGCGGTGACGGAGGTTTGACCGTGGATGGGGTGGGGGATTTTGAGGTGTGCTGAAGGTGGATGTGGTCGTGGTGATGGTGGGTTGACTATTGGAGGCGATGGTGATTGATTTGAGGTAAAGATGTTGTGGTGTAGTGTGGTGTGGTGTGGTGTGGTGTAGTGTGGCGATGGTAGTGTTGCAAAAATTGTGGTGAGTGTAGCTACTGGTGGTGGTGATGGAAGTGGTGGTTGTGATATTTTCGTTGGCAGTAGTGGTGTGGGGGGGGGGGGTTGGTTGACCCGCGACCAAGTATTCGTGGTGGATCGAGATTGAGGGTGGGGTATTTGGTCATGTGACCAATTATTTGGTGTACTGTGACTAACTATTAAAATGTGACCTTAAAATTCGATAATTTGTGACTAAAAAATAATTTGTGAACAAATTTGAAAATATGTGACCAATGGATAAATTGTAACATATAATTTTTTTGATTTGTGACCAATGAAATAAACTGTGACATATAAATTTTTTGATTTGTGTTGTGACCTCGAAATCATCTATGACCAATTAATTTGATAATATGTGATCAGTATATAAATTGTGACTCATAAGTATGCTTTTGTGACCATGAATTGTATAATTTTCATTTTAATATATTTAATTAATTAACTAAATATCTGATTTTTGTATTTTTAAAACTTAATACCTGATTTTTGCAATTGTATAAGTTAATGCTTGATTTGTGAACTCTTTCTGTATGCCAACATGACTATAAAGTTCCTTCAGATTTATTAAGAAAATAAATTGTGACTCGTAAGTATGCATCTGTGACGATGAACTGTATAATTTTGATTTTAATATATTTAATTAATTAACTCACTACCTGATTTTTGCAATTGTAAAAGTTAATGCCTAATTGGATCTCTTCCCTAGTTTAATTTAGGGGGAAAAAAATCATATATGCCCACTTTTAAAAAACAAAAAAATCTTAAAATACTCCACATTGTTTTATATATATGTTATACTTCTTAATATATATAAAATAAAACCAAAAATACTATTTCCTTAAATTACTGTTATTTCATTAATTATATATCACACAAAAAGTTTGGTGTTCATGTAATTTAACATAAAAAAAAAAAATCAACGGTGAAGTCGTGCGTACATATGAGTTTTATTTGAGTCTGATAATGGAATGCATATACTTGAAAAAACATTA